AATCAAATTCGGGCTCTATTGGTGGTAGGCGAGCACTTTCACCACTGCGCCAACCCCGCTCTCCACTATAACTCAATGGTAACTCAGTTAGTAGAGCACTGATTCCTAATGCCACTCAAACAGAAATGTTCTTCTGACAAGAAGACACTTTTCATTTGCGTATATAATGGTATTTCATGTATTGAAGTATACTTTTTAAAGTTTCCACCATTTCTCCCTAAGGGTGTTATTAGATACAGGCGGTTAAATGCAGCTGGGGACAGCCAATCCGGGGGGAGTACAAAAACTGCTGGTTGTTTAATGTTACGGAAAATGGCGATGAGCGCCAGCTCGATGGGTCACTATAGTGTTTTCTCGCAATTGTAGCCAAGAGAGCAGCTAGCATAATCCCATATCGCTAATGAATCTTCTCCCTTTCTAAACTGTACAGAAACGTACCATGAGACACACACCTTGAACTGAAAGTCCTTTGAAAATGTAGATGTGTCACTTTCTTGGAAAATTATGCCTTGAGCTGTGGGCTTGTTCAGGTTGTGCATCTATTACTACGGCAAACTGTAAATAAAATTCTTAATCACTTTTTTTCTTTTTTAACTCCGGGATTTATTAAACAACACCATAAGACAAAAACACCTTCAGGGTGCTTACCATTTAGCAAAAAAATCCGGAAATTTCGGTTGAAAGTCAAATGGAACTGTAATTTTCCGGAAAATCCGTTCGGAAATTGTAGACTACCTCCAGAGGTAGTCCTCTTTCTCCGTTCGGAATGGAACGGCGGAAATTTCCTTACCATTTGGTAAATTTTTCAGTTTCCAGTCTCTCATCAGCTAGCCGAAAACAATTAAGAGAAATCGAATTGCAAATGGTAAGCGCCATCTCGTTCGGTTAGTTTGCTAATTTTGGAAAAACCCTTACCATTCTACAATGGTCATCCCAACCGGTTTATTCTGACAAATGGTAAGCACCCACAGACTCCATCTGAGTGACATTTTCGCGTAGTAAGGCTGCGTTTAATTAGTGAATGTAGTTGTCCAAGAATGTAGTCTAAGCAATCAGATCTCGTGTCTCCAGAGTCATTTTTCCTCGTGCCAAGTTTCCTCTGGCTAAGAGTGACAGACGGCTCTGGGGGCGGTTATACAACATTCATCTCGCCTCGATTGATTTCTGCCTTCGCCAAGTCCAGGAACGTTATCGTTCCTTCTAAAAGGATAGGTACATGTAATGTTACAACTTGGGAATGTTAGAGGCGATAAATAACTATAAAATATATAAGAACTAAGTGCATTGTAAGCGTAACGAAATGAAAGTGACAATAACTCTAATATATTACTTCAAAAACAAACTTACTTAAGACAGTAATACTATGTTTTGAAACTACAAAAGAAAACTGATTTAAATGATAATCTCACAAAATAGACGCAAAACTGAGGCCTGTGCCCTTATCGCCTCTTGTGGAATAATGCAAACGATCTCATTTGATTCGCTATAACCTTCGATTGAGCTATGTAACAAGTACTAGATAATGAACTCATAACTAAAGCATGTGTCACCACATAAAAATCAGCAACGTCCAAATAAATGCAGACCATTAGAAAAGCTACAGCGTCATAAATGGTTGAACGGAGCACCCTTAGGGGGAAAATGCTTCGCAAATGTATCCCAGCGTAACATCACACTCCAAATCATTCCACCCTAAGTCATAATCTTGAAAATGATATTCACCAATAGAAAAGGGTCCCCTGAGTATATGGACACAATGCTGATTATCACCCAAGTTGTTGGGGTCTTGAAACCAGTTCACGTAATCTCCCAGCGAGCTACCATCTGCCCATATCCATTCTCCTTCTTGCATCTGATCATTTAGTCCAATCCAAAAGGTCACTCCAGATGCGTTGAGGTACGTGCTTTTAAGGAAGTCGTTCTCTTCTGCTGACTCGATCTTTACCAGTTGTGCTCCAAGATCTTCGCACTTTGCACGTGCGTTGTCCCATCTCTCGGGCACCGTGAATAGCTTGTAACATGAGCCAAGAAGTGAACCCGACCCGGAAATAAAGTCTGAAGAACATATCAAAAGTAATTTCTTGATGAAGTCATCTCAGTTAAATACTCAAATCATTAAACTAAGCATATGGTTCAAAATCAGCGTCCAAAGGGCAAACAAGAATATTGTGACATTTTGTCAATGCACTGTGTCTATTGGTTCCATGTACTTTCTCTTAGGATGAATAAAGCACATACCTGATTCACAGAGACATCGGTAACCTTTAGTTGTAAACCCAGCTTGGCAGATAAAATTTACCGAGCAGGGGCTGCTTTGGCAGGAATTCTAAACAAGATTGATAGAAACAGCGCACTCTTCAGTGTCTAAAACAATATATAATAAAATTTTATCGGAGTAATATCAGAAGCAAAATGAGAGCTCAGTACACGAAAACAGCGAAAATTTGATTTTTATATTTGTTTTTCGGTGTCTCATTTCCTTTGGACTTCTGAGTCCGAGTTATCCACAAAACCTACGTCACCGTACTAGCAGTTAGGAATTTTTCTGGATATATAGATAGATAAATCAAGTGCGGTCCTCTATCCAGGTCGAATAGGAACTATTACATAATTACAGCTAAGACACTCACTCCACGCATTAAGATTGAATCCACATTGTCAACATTTCATTTGCGTCATTTGACATTACCGTAGCAATCGTTTGTTGCCATGTAGGCTATAGCCATTTTTAACGGAATTCTTTGATTTGTTTCAAGGTTTCTTTGCGATGAAATTCCATAATCAGCACCCTTTTACATTTATCTTCTATTAACGTTGTTTTGTTTTCTTTTTCTTCTTAATTAACCTTATTATTATTATTATTTTTTTTTTTTCATCAAAATTCCAACCAAATACATGCAACACGCGCAAAGTGCGGGGAAACATTGAGTTATTAACAATTGGTTTTCATTGAACATTATTATATGGCTTGTGTTTGTAGCCGATATAACGCGCGCTCTGATTGGCTTGGTCTAGAGCATTATTCTCCCGTAGTGCCGGCAGCCTGATTACGGCCCTGCAAAACCAAAGCAAAATGCCATATGATAAACTTATTAGCCTCGTACGTTTTTCATGGGATAATCTCAAACCTCGGCCTTGCCGCATTGACTTCGCTATAGTTCAGTCAATACGGCATGGTCTCGGTTTGAGGTACGTTTTTCCGTAAAGACCTCATTCTCAGTTAATACTTAATTAGGAAAGTGGCGCGTCGCATAGCGTAGTAATGCAAAACCAAAGCAAATGCATTACACTTTTTTCATTCAAGTTAAAACATAAGCTTTAACTTTTTTATCGTTTCTTACCAAAATATGTCGGTAGATGTAATCCTCTTTGGTCACGAAGTCGCTGCTCGAGACTTGCAAATGTGTACTATTGTTCAAGTCGCATGATGGCGTATCACTTTGGGTTGGACCAAAGTTGTAGGACACACAATCGGCCGCTTGATAGCAGCGTAACTCGCACTTTGATCTGCTTTGAACTTTCATACTTCTTAACAGTTGATTTTCGAGAAACCTGTCCTTTATTTGAGGTTGGAATTGTACAGTTCTGCAGTCTTCTGAAAGAACTTATTTTGAAAAACAAATAGTGCATTGCTTTAGATCTGAACAACCTTAACTATTGGGAAACATTAAGGTGGCCCTGATTTTCTCCCTTAGTTCATTTTATTTTATTTTTACCATTGGCAAAGCAGTACATGTCTACGTGCTAATCAAATTTCGGCAATAAAAAAATGGGGGTCACCGGCGAACTTCCGTTTCAGTTGTGAGCCCATAAAATTAAGGGTGTTTGAAACGAGTCATAATGTTGCTATGGCAACATTTTTTTCGTTACCCAAAAGGCCATAATTTGTTTACAATAATTGAACTTCATTGATAACGTTATTGTAGCATCAACTAGAAACGGGAGGCTAGCGATGCTCCATGGAAACCGGTATGGGACACCTTAAACTTTTGATGTTATTAAACTTGTGTCAATATTCGAAAAGCTCGAGGTGTAATTCGTTAAAAAGAGCTGAACCCCCTAAAACTACTGTCGACGGTACCATTGCTAGAGATAAAAAGTAAACATTCATTCTCAAAACATAGGAAATTTTGCTTTCTAACGTTGCAGAATTTTTTAATACAAGCGAATAGATTTTGCAACCTTTGACTCTAATTTATGAATAATTAATGTGAAAAGACGAACGCTCTCAATGTTTCCAAATATTTCGAAAACTATAATAATACATCGATATTTTCCAGGTTCGTTCTTCAAATAGCAAGGTACCAGGGCAGTTTTATTCTTTTAGCCTGATCACTTTTTTTCCACTTTCTCAATTTAAGGCTTCCGAAGTTTGTAACTTAACTTTTCGAAAACAGAATTGAGAGAAAGTTAAAAGAAAATAACTATAATAAATAAAGGAAGTTTAACGTACCTACGTTCACTGTAGTACTAAACAGATACCAAAAGAGTGGTTTTCTTGTTGTCATCGTCCCAGAACAACCTTTAACATCAAAGATGTTTGTGGACCAAATTACCAGAGAAGATCGGGCAATTTATGGCATTCTTGTAAAGGGGAGATCAATATGTTTTGCCACCCACAGCTGCTAACAAGGGAAAAACATTAAGAGCCTCACACGACCAATCCAAAAAATATGTTTACTGATTATAAAAACACGCCTAAAGTTTGAGGCCTATATAAAGCACACCTTTTTGTGTCAAGAAAAGGCATTGCGAGTGCAAAAACATACTTCACTTGGGAATTTCTGCGAAACATGGGCTGTATCAGAGATTTGATTGTTTCTCTTTAAGAATGGACTTTCAAAACTACATATTGCGAATTCCCGCCGTTAGGTTGATTTTTTAATGACTATAAGGAGGGTAAAAATATAACCACACATTTGACAGCTCCAAGGAAGCGAACTGAAAAAAAAAAAACATGTGGCGTCACTGGCAAAAGCATCTTTATTTTCGCTTGAGGTCATAGTAAGGAGTTTTTTTTTTCGGCGTCCTCTAAGCGGCCCAAAATTATGATTATCAATGCCGATTTTCAATGCAGAAATTATTTACATCCAAGTCTATTCCGCTAATNGAAAAAAAAAAAAAAAAAAAAACATGTGGCGTCACTGGCCAAAGCATATTTATTTTCGCTTGAGGTCATTGTAAGGAGTTTTTTTTCGGCGTCCTTGAAGCGGCCCAAAATTACGATTATCAATGCCGATTTTCAATGCAGAAGTTATTTGCATCCAAGTCTATTCCGCTAATGAGTATTCACTTACAGTGAAGCACCTGACCAAACTCCCGTGAAGTCATTCACAAAATAACAGAAAAATTTGCGACTTCTTATTCGATGGCATAGGCTAGGCCTAGAAACGAAAGGTCCAGGAAAACAACTAAAATTTGCACAGTCATTGTGGTTATTGAGGCTGTGATTGGATTCCTCAACTGAGAGAGTGTACGATATCAAAAAACAAAAATATAACTGTCCTGGTTTAAGCATGTCAGCTGCTGAGCTATTTTCGTCTTTTACTGATTATGTTGCGTATTCTGTTGTAAACAAAAACAATACTATCAACAGCAAAACAAAACAACAAACAAAAACGTGCTCGAGCACCTGTCGCACAGGTCACGCTTCACGCGAAAGAAAGCTGCAAGAAACGATCATGCAATCCAGATCGTTTGTTAACACTGAAATACAACAATTCCGTTTTAACTGTTCGAAATTCCCCATGATCAATATTTAAGAGCGATAAGGCTTTTATGATTTGATTATACTGAACATAGACAATTCAACCGGTAGAAATCTACACAAGACTAAGCCAACAATTACTTGTACAGAATCTCTTATGCTGTGCTTTGTTCTTAAAATGAACATAACTGCTTTCTTGATTATCGTTTTAAGCCATATTGGGCTACCCAAATTTAAAGAACAATACATCACAAAATGCATATGACCCTCTTAATAAAGTACTGGAACCTCAATTCAAGTTTCGGCTCACTTTTCAGCTGATGGCAAATTTGGCGAATCTTAATTCGCACCTATCAGTAAGACATGCACAGTCCATCATGTTTACTTGCGAAAGAGTAGACTTCTAATGGTAATTCACTAACTTCAACTTTGTACGTTACATTTCACTTTTTATTCCACCGGATTTGCCGATTTTTTATGGATATATACAGCAATGGAAAAACTTCCAGCCGAGCGCAGATTAACAGTTTTGTCGGTTAGAGCTTACAACTCTGGCCATCTGGCAGTGGTAGTTTATTATTGTTATTTTTTTTTATTTTTTTATTTTTATTTTTTTATATATATATATTTTTTTTCTGTTTTCTGTTATTATTTCCCGAAAGTCCAAAGGTCTTTTGGATGATATATTATTTGACCATATGAACTGCAACTCTTCAAACTCGACCCGCGGGCGATCAGGTAACCACCTACAGCTATCCCTCAGAAGGAACTCTGTTTGTGGCCGCAAATTTGTTTATTTTGAGACTTCCTCAAAAAAATATGAACAAAAGTGTTCTCCCTGACTTGCAGAAAACAATTCGAGGTCACTAAATCAAGACGTTTAAAATAGCCGAACGTTGGCCGATCAACTAGATATCCTCTCAAAATAAAGTCGATCGTTAAGACGAAATTACAAAACTAACCTGAGAGAGGTTGAAATTGAGGTCCTTTATTCATTCAAAATACAAGTAGATGGAAACATTGAGTTTGACTTTCAGAATTTAATGCTTGCAATTTCCTTCAACGTCATCGTCAAGAACAGTTCGGACCTTTCTAATAGCTGGCAGTCAAACTAAATAAATAGAATGAATGGACGACAAATAATGTAAATTATGTCTTTATTTTTCTCGCTGAACCGGGCAATGCTTATGTTTTTATTATTTATTTATTTTTTAACAGGTAGATTTGCTATATTAAATAATTGTTGTTCTCTCTAATGACAAGAATTCTACAATTAGTTTCATTAAATTGTTATAGATGTTTATTTTTTTTTTAATGAAGGCATTTTGATGCTGAATTACAATGGAATGAATAGAAAATAGAGCCTTCACATACTGCAAAAAGAAAGACTAACAGCAGCAAATAGGTTTTATTTTAAGAAGCATCGGTGATAGATTCTTGAAAACGGAGATTTCATTATTCTATACCCTTCTATATAATGAATATATTCTATTTTTGTTTTTCTCTTCCTTTTTACAATAAAAGGTAAAGTCTGCATACGAGCCAAGTGGCCCATCAGGCCGGAGCTTATCCCGGTTTCCTTTTTACAATAGAAGGACTAAAATTCGAGAAAATCGAAAAAAACGAATTTGATTTGGCCCGAAGATCGCCAAACTGATCGAACGCAAAGGCTGAATAATATATAGATGAGGATAGATTTAGCCAAGCCTGAAAACGGAGCTCCTAGGCCGTTGTTCAAAGCCCGACAAAGGCCCCATTTATATGGTCTCGGGTACCCGAGACAACCCTCCTTGGTCAGCGGTCAACTTAAAAAAAAAATACATGACCTTGAGGAGCTCTAAACTTGAGCCCACGATTTGGTCAAGCGATACTTCGTAACATGGATGTCCAATATCAAAGAAGGACGCTATAAACCAAGGGTGCATGTCTCTGTCAACCTATCAGCTGGAGTATGGCTGCCATCTTACGCGACTCCGTCGCCGTCGTGCGTACGCGCCCACGAGCAATACCTCTAGTCATGAGGACCATGAGAAAATCAATTCATGGGCTTCCTTTTGTTTCCTATATGGGTATGGGGTTCCGCTTGGAGGTCCTTCTGGTCGCTGGAGTTCCGCCATTAAAAATCTAAAACTAAACTTGCTAAAGACAATTCCTTGTTGGAAGGATGTCATCCGGTCATCTTGACCTCACGCATTGTCAATAACCCATAATTATGTGCATCGCTACTCACGCAGCGTCCTTAACTTTAATATTGATTAACCATTACAGCATACTAAAATGTATGATCAGACAAGTAGGTTTGCATCGTCCAAGGAACGACTGTAAAACGAAGTACAACTCGGTGTTATATTCCGGCTTACGTACAGGGGCAGCGTAACAATGGAAGCATGGACACAAGAAGAAATGAGTCGTTTTCTATTCTTCCTTTCATATTTATGCCTCTGCTCTTGTTTGTTACCTGCGTGTGTTTTTGTTTGCACGTGTGTATAGGTAAGTCTACTCTGGCGTTATCCATTACATTTAGGTAGTTTCGAGAGATCACATGAGATAGCACGGCGCTTGCGCAAGTCATAATTAAAAGCCACGTACTGGGTGCATCAAAAGACAGTATGCAGGCTGGAAAAAGCCAAACTAGAAGAAGACAGGCAACCAAGTTGCCTAAGAGAGGGTGGGTGTGATAGTGGCGGGCATGTGATCTCTCGCCTTCTGATGTCATGTGATAGAATCTCAATCAAACTTCAACTTACAGGTAAGTCTCGTTTAATTTCCCAATT